AGACCACCAGTTTTTACAGCCTGACAAGCTGAAACTAAGGATATTATGAGAAAAGGAGTTCATGGATCTTTCAAGAACAGTGTTTATTAGGTGCAGCTTGAGTGTCGGGGACATTTTAGCATATGGAAAATATAATCAGCTGACTAAAACGATTACTCTCCAGTCCATACAACTTTCAAGCGTATTTTAAAACAAGCTTTAATCTTAGTATGAAATCTAGCACCCAGACTTTTAATAAGAGTTCGGAACTTTAAGCAAACATATCTGCTGTACTCCAGTAGATTAATATCATGGATGAGCTGTAGTCCATACGCCATTGATCACAGCTGTAAATCCAAGGCGTCAGTTTGCATGATTTCTTGGTCATCAAAAGTAGGGTGATAAATAATTAAAACCAACCATCATATGAGCAGTGAATTCCACTACTTATCAGTTACTTCAGATAGACAGGTCTGGATTTGATGGTAAACTGAAGAACACTTTGGGTAGGACTGTGTTGTCCTAACTATGAAAAGTAATTCGAAAACTATCGTGATGTGTGCTTATTTTAGCTGGTTTAAAGTTAGTCCACTGGTTATTTTTAACACACAAACGAATGCCCAGGGTCTACCTTTCTAAAGTGCTCGGGTTATGGGTTTTCATATATTCGCCTTTTGGACAAACTGTTCTATCTACATTAACAAAATTCTATGGGAAAGAAATGTTACTTTTCATTAAAATAATACGTCTTGATATATCACGTGTATATGTTATGTTTGAAACCAATAACATTCAGAGACTTCCTTGATTTGCTAGTAAACCGGCCTGGGACATATTGGAATTCTGTCAGAAGGATAGAAAAGTCAAAACAAGAAACTTCCTGCACTTGGAGCTGTTGCGCAAGAAATGTGGTAGATGAACATTTATTCAACTGTGTATCAGTAGTTGTCATGTTGTCATTGACGCCAAAAGCTGGGCCACTCTCTATTAAAGTAAAAATTCATTACACTTCATTCATAAGATGTGCTGTTCAGGAATATTAGGTAATATAGTGTTCAGTTTGTATTTCTATGCTTATAGTTTTCTTGAATCCTAAGTTACAGAGTTTAAATCTGTTTAGCCATTTGTCTTTATCTCTATTTATTGAATATTTGACATAGTTTCATTAGTATATTGTTTACAAAGTATTACAACCTTAATCATGAATACGAATTTACACCAAACAGCATTTCACTTATTAGTTACATATGGAACTAGCGGCGTAGAAGAGCCTAATCTGTTTTAATAGCATATTTACACTAGCGGTGTAGAAGAGCCTAATATGTTTTAATAGCATATTTACACTAGCGGTGTAGAAGAGCCTAATATGT